AGCTGAAGCAGCCAAGTCCGCACTTTTCCTTTCCCAGTCCCTGCAGAACCCCTCCCCCTGCTTTTTTTTTTTTTGCTTCAGATTTTGCTGAGAAACTGCAGCAACTTTCCTGGGTTTTGGTCCATTATGAAACCACCCTTGTTTTCAAACGGACAAGAGTAGATGTGTGAGACATGCACAGAAATCCTCCTGGCTGCATCCCATCCAAAGTCCAGCTCCTTGAGGTCCTCGTGGCTGTAGCATCTGGTTGTCCTGGTCCAAAGGAACGTGGGAAGATCTGAGTCTTGTGTGCAAGGGACCAGGTCACAGCCTGAACCTGTACTTGCATGCGAAATCTTCACTGCCAGGAGGCTCATCCAGATCAGAAAAGCAGGTGTGGAGGCAGCTGGAAAGTCCCTCACCTCCCTTCAAAGTGCCACAGCTCTGCACTGAGCTGCAGGGAACATCTCCCTTTATTCAGGACATCAGTGTCCTCTGAGAGACCATGGAGCCACCTGTGCACCAAGTGACACAACTACCAGCTGCAGCTCTGCAAAACCTCTGTCCTCTGAGCCACAGGTGAGAAAGGGATGAAACCTTGAGGCTCAGCCCTTCAAAGGCAAGGAACTACCTCAGCACCATGAGGTCATGCTGTCCATTGCCTTCTTCTGCCACTTTCAAGTGCTGCAGTCATGCCCAGCTCTTCTACACATCTGGCCCTGACAAGCTGAGCCTCCACCAGCCTTTAATCTTCTTGCTGAGCCTCTATGCAGGATGGGCATGCAAGTGGCAGCTGCTTTCCAGGATTACCCACTCCTGCAGCTTCTCATGGCTCCACTTCTGTGTCTCTTCACTCACTAGTGGTGGTGTTGAGATGCCATTTGGCAGTTTCCTTCTCTGCCTGGCAGCCAGCAGAGAGAGACCTTTTCTAGGCAGTCAGGATGACTGGTCACCCCACTTCAGCTCTCCCTTGGGACTGCTATGCTGTGGAAAAATAGATGTGGAGAATCCTACTCATAGAGTACCAGAGATGGAGGAGTCCTCCAGAGGTTACTCAGTCCATTACAATATCCCACAGCAGGGCCAATGCTCTGTTTACATTTTCTGGCAGATTTATCTTCAATTCATATTAACAATTCCAATGAGAGACATTGTCATCTCCCCTGGATTTACATCTTGTTTTAAAGACGGCTTAGGATGTTGGTTGTCTCTAAGCATCACAGGCCAATGAGACCCTTGATTCCCATTGTGGTGTCATCTCAAGGCCTCAATTTTGGGAGGATGGCAGATCCACAGCTGTGCCCCAAAGCTGTGGAAGGGGACAGACAACGACCATGGGTCATATCACAGAGAAGGTCAAAAACCATGCCAATGATCTGCTGAGATCCCTGAAAAACATCTCATGGTGAGTTAGTGCAAAAGAGTGTCTGCTGGAGAGGTTTCCTCCTCGTGCCCTTGGTTGAGGGACCCCAAAATCACCTGTGGAATTGAGGTTGCAGGGGTGAAAATGCACTCCCTGACCTCAGCCCCTCTCCTGGGCTGTGAGTTTGGATGCAAGTGCTGCCCCAGGCCAGGTTCTGCTCTCCCAGGGGTTCCCCGTGGTCTGGGGATGCTTCAAAATGAAGTGAGCAAGGCTCAGAGCAACAAACCTCTGACCCAGCAGAGAAGAACCAGGGGGGGTGGGATGGGCCCTCATATTGAACAGAAATAAAAAAAACCCAACCCAACCAA